CACTAGAACAAAAGTTACGCTTAACAATTTCAAAGATCTGTAGATTCCCCCTTCCCCCACTGGTGGAAGAAATTGTCACTAAACCATTTCTTCTTTCTATCAGCATATCTTCAAAATCCAGTAGGTCCCAAGGACGCTCAAGTAAATCCCAATTTAGCATCATGGGCTCCCCTACTATTGAGCAAACATCCTTCTTCGTGAGGGCTAAAGCTCTTCGTCAAATATTGTCCATGGGCGACAACGATTGCTTACATAAAAATAAAAGCTTGACTTTCTTGAATGTCTGGGTAAGGGGGTACCTAGAAATGATTAGACACATTGTGATACATGATCAGAGTATCTTAATCTATCTAAAGTAATTAGATACTCTATCCTACAAGTAATATTTAATAATGTCGTTTTCCAAGAAAACAGATATTTTTTTGCTGTCTTGTGTTAAATTTCATCAAAATATGTTCACGATCACAGCAGACCGAAAATTACTACAATATCACAAGATAATATTGAGTAGGCTTTGTTTGCACTTAAATAGGAACCGATGTCATACATCTGGTAGGTATGTCTTAAAAACACAATATCACTACCTTGAAAAATAATACATCTGAAATTGTAACAGACTATCGAAATCTGTAATCTGCTTCTTTATCTGGTTGAGAATAAGAATAATAATAAACGGCATCAATAAAAATAAATCGGTGACTCATTCATAGTAGTAGGTACACTAAACAAATGGTAAATAATACAATTAGATTGACGTATTTTTCAGACCATAATGACTCATATTGCAAGATCTTACAAAGTGTTACGAAATATGCAATTAACTCGTCGAGTACCGGTTTTGTAGACACAATTATAGAACAATAGGTTGCGGTCACCGGTGACCGCTTGGTGTTTGACAGTTTAAGTGAATGTGCGAGTGTTCTCTTCATTTTTAACTCAAAATAAAAACGTAGTAGCTAGCCAATTTTAGGTAGATTTTTTTTACCTGACTTGCCAGGAGGCTTGAAAAGACGAAATCTTTATACATATTCATGACATAAGTACTAAATCTATTTAGTATAATTAAAGTAAACATTATTCTAATCTTGTTATTCAGACATACTCGTAAATATTTTACGTTTTCTTGTGTGCATCTTATGCACCAATCAAATTACCTTAGATATCTAGTCTTATCACATATAGGAGTCATATTATAATTATCTATAGTTGTAATATAACTACGACAGACAAGTTCGTATTTTATACTGATTCTTAATATTATCGAAATGATTTCAGCTAAGCGGCGTGGTTACTTAGATCTAGATATGGAACAAAATCACGATCCTCCAGGTCAGACCACTATTCTTTGTTATCATGTATTGTGTTTTATAAACTAACTATTTGTGTTGTGATTTACCTGTGTTTCAATCTCATTTGTGTTTATAGGTGTTCGGGTATATACGTTCGTAGGTAAAGAAAACTTTGTTGTGAACTCTAATTTGAATTTGGGTATCTTACTTCTTTCATCTAGCTTTTGTGCAGGAAGTTGATAAATAGAGAGCAGTAGCCTGCCTTAAAATCAAATCTATTAAATAAATTTTCTTTATTCCTATAGAAAACTTTAGGGCGCAATTTGACCATCTCTATTTATTTACTTCTATTATCTCCTTCCTTATGTTGTATGTTTACTGTCTGTCAATACAATTACCTTGTGACTAGTTATTTTTCGTATTCCTGCATTCTATTTGCCAATTTTATTATATTATTTCGTTATCTTTTCCTATGTATCATATTTTAATTCGTAAAACTATACTCCACAGATGATGACGACAAAAAGAAAAGAGTTTATAACAGGTAAAACATGCTTTAAAGATATCTTTCTAAAAATAATTAGGTAATAGTGGCGACATATTAAACCATTGAATAATATACCTAACTTTCAGTTGGTGGGAAAAATTTTGTTTGCGATGTCATCAAGAAGACTCCACACCATCTTGGCAACCATCATGGTGGTCCAAATTCTTCCCATTCCCATTATTTTCTACTTACAGACAGACCGCGCAACAAATATGCATTATAATGTTCTGTAAGTATTGGTTTTAGCAGTATTCTTTGTTTATTCAGCATATTACACGGAGATTACGTAACATAACTAGAGATTAGATATCTACTGGTCTACTATCTACATGGGTTCATTTATCTTAATGTAAGTACATACTTACTTTCAATGCCAGCCTAAATCATGCACTCAAACCAAAGAACCTCATGATCACAAAAGAAAATATTTATATTTCAGTTGTAGTTAAACTGTAACTTTAAATAAACACATCTGCTCTAATTCAACAGTGTCATCTGTTTGGCTTCTGAATTAGTACCCTTCCCTACAACTAATACAGTACCTATTGACCGTGGATTCTAAGATTTGTTGCTATATGCAACTTAGTCTACTATAGATACTTTATAAGGAATACTTCGTGCTACTGGATTTGTTTACGTTACGTCACAGTCTACGTAAAAGAATAAAAAAGAAATTGCAAAGCCGAAACTAATAAGTCTGTTTTCTTTTCAGTTTTACTCACATGGGGCGTACTATATTCAGAGATTGGAGAATCAGTAGGTTTACAAGGCGAACTATTTAGCATGTCAGTACTAGTCATTTCTGCGTACTTAATAGGTTGGATATGGCTAAAAGTAACTACATTGCCAGCACTTATAGGCATGCTTCTAACTGGGATAGCATTCCAAAACCTTCAATTGGTCCACATGACGGACTCTTATAGAAAATTAAATCAAGATCTAAGGTAATTCTTATTCCTAATGCCACTTTTCTGCATTCAAATAACGAGATTCACCTGTGCTTTAATATGTCTTCAACTTTCACAGAAAAATAGCACTGGTGATTATCCTAACACGAGCTGGTCTTGGTCTGAACGCAGGTGTTTTAAGGAAACACTACGCTGCTGTTCTACAACTGGGTCTTTTACCATGGCTGGTTGAATGTGTGGCTATTGCAATCAGCTCACATTATCTCTTATATTTACCTTGGATATGGGGTGAGTAGTAATTAATTGTAATGGCACTTCAAATCTCATAATACCTCTATATAACCCATACTGTAGTTGATTGAATTCTAAACATTTTTTCTTGTAGGTTTTCTTCTAGGATCAATGATAGCTTCAGTATCACCAGCAGTAGTAGTTCCCTGTCTATTTAGGTTACGTGACGTAGGATATGGAGTCGCTAAAGGTATTCCAACAATCGTAGTTGCCGCAGCTGCGGTAGACGACTCCATTAGCGTTGCAATCTTCGCCATCATTCTAAACGCAATGTTCTCAACTGGATCTGCTACTTTCAATATTATAAAGGCAAGTTATAAAGTTGACAATAACCTTAACACTATGGACCTATATTATTATCATGTTGAATTATATAAAACAGTTAAGTCTTTTATTTCTAGGGTCCACTATCCATTGTTGCCGGTGTTGTTCTCGGATCACTTTGGGGAGCTCTGCTCTCAGTTATGCCTGAAAGAGGCGACTCTTATGTAGTACCTTTAAGATTCTTGGGCCTATTTCTCGGAGGCCTATTCTCTCTGTTCATATCGAGTATGATTGGGTGGAGTGGTGCAGGTAATACATCGATTTATTAACTGATAAGAATTTGATTGCCTTTTATTTTATACTACCGGGATACTAAATTCATGTATCATAATTTCAGGCCCTCTTGCTATCGTATCTTCAGGATTTGTAGCCGCATATTTCTGGGAAAAGCAAGGCTGGGTCGTAAACAAAAACCCAGTCAGCAATGTATTTAGAATCCTGTGGATATTCTTCGAGCCTATATTATTTGCGTTTACAGGAGCTCAGGTTACGGTAAGCTACTTCACAAAAATAAAAGTATGTTTGCAAATAGGATAGTGATTCTTACTTATCAGATTCGAAATTTGTTTTTATTCACAGATTAGCGCTTTAGATCCACAAGTTATAAAAATGGCCACTATATGCCTTCTTGGCTGCTTAGTTATTCGTGCAATTGCAACATTTTTCGTAAGCTTTGGATGTGGCCTTAATAGCAAAGAGAAAATATTCATCGGTCTCACATGGACAGCCAAAGCTACTGTACAGGTATGTAGAAGTATCAGTATGATATTTACTTGTAAGTACGTATATAAATATGAGTTTACAATAAGAAATATAATTAATACTTACAGGCAGCGTTAGGACCAGCTGCCTTAGACTTGGTGAATAGTGGCCAAACATCAGGAGTTGCTAAAGCAGATGAAGAATACTATGCAAAGGCTATTTTAGCCGTCAGTGTTCTAAGTGTAATGATATCGGCTCCTCTAGGCGCATTACTTATTGCTGTAGCTGGTCCCAAACTGCTCTCCAAAGACGACCGTAAGTAGAACTTAATGTTTCACAATTTTTGCATAATAAAGTCAAAAATAATAAGGTTGACATAATTATTATCTTACAGCTGATGAGACTCCAGAACAAAACACAGAAAATCAACAAGCGACTCAAATATGACGATAGTCGGTTCTACTTATTAGAATGTAATAATGTCCTTAAGTGCCTGTTACAATATTTTGTACACATTTTGTGCTGTAAATCAGCACTCTAAATTAAATTACTTAAAATGCCTTCGTGCTCTTGTACTTTACATACATTTACATAAAAAAGAACCGCCGTCGAGAGTATACCTCATAGTACATAAGTTATATTGTAATTTATAAATTACATATATTGAATCTATACCAGTGATAGTACATCCAACTAAGTACTTAATCGAATATTTTTAATAATTTTTATTTTTAGTATTGTTAACTAGTTTTTGACATAAATGTTACATTTCATCGAGTCAGTCAATGTGCCTTTTAGATTTAAAATACAATTACCTATATTATAATGTTAAGAAATTATTTTGTATTATTTTAAAAATAATCCTAAAAAGTAATTTTATGGAGGAATACATCCATACATACATAACATCACGCCTTTTATTCCCGAAGGGGTAGGCAGAGGTGTACATTATGCGGTTATGCCACTGTACAATGTAACACCCACTTTTCACTATTTATGTTATGAGTCCCATGTAATAGGGGGTGAGCCTATTGCCATATACCGGGCACA